TGCAGGATAGTATGTCTATAATTGAGGTTGGCATGGCTGACAAGTTCTGTCAGATCGAGGAAACACTGAAGCACCTGACGAAATATTGGTGATGAATCGATAAGGTTCCAGTAGTAACACTTTTGGTCGAGCTAGTTATAGCCAGCCATCACACGAAAAGGGAGCTGAGAGAGCAAAGGGGATCCAACAACCATTTTGTTTCAAGCTAGCAAAGCTTGAGTTTCCCTCTTATATGAACAATGACCCAACGGAGTGTTTTAACTGTATAGAGTAATTCTTTAAACACCAGAGCACCGTCGTGAATCAAAAGGTAGCGTTGGCATCGTACCACCTAGAAGGCGAAGCCAACCAATGGTGGTAATAACTTCGTCAGGTCTACAAGGAAGAAGAGAAAGAAATTACTTGTGTTGTATTTAAAGAAGAGCTTTGGGCCCGATTTGGGCTCATTGAAACTGAAGATTTTGATAAAGCATTGTCCAAAGTAAAACAGCGCGGTCCATTACGCAAATACCAGAAAAAAGTTTGAGCGACTAGGTAACTGAGTTCAGGACTAGACATAGAAAACCTTGATGAGGACTTTTATCGGTGGCTTGAGCCTGAAATAGCATACAAAGTTAGGATATTTCGGCCCAAGTTCTTAAAGGAAGTGATTAATCTAGCCTGCATGAAAGAAGATCAATTGAACTAGCAACGGTGGTCTCAACAATTTGGGTGAGTCGCGACCACTCAATCGTCCCAAGCGTTAGTAGCTCCATTATCACAAATCACAACTGCTCCACCTACTGCCACCAAGCGAATATCTTGGGACGAAATGCAAAGGCGGCGAACATAAAGGTTGTGTTTCAACTATGACAAGCGATTCACCCCCGACCACCATTATCACAAACCCCAGTTGTTGCTTCTGAAAGGTGACACAAAAGAAGATGTTGAACCAAAAAAGCCTAGTTAAATGGAGATGTCTGCTGGAAAAAAGAAGTTATATGTGCAACCAGCATCATGAACCTTGATGACAGGTTCCAAAAAAAGAGGGAGGCAATGATAAACCTAGAAAATAAGAAAAATGTGATGAAAATAGAGGAAGGGAAATCCATGCACGATTTGAAAATCTTCACACAATCTGATTCCACTTTTGAATTTAACATAGTTGCTAATTTCTTGCTAAGTTATCTTTATTGTGTCCATAGAATTATGAAAGAGTGTTTTTTTTTTATTATTTAAGCAATGCATAACATTAATAAAAAAAGTCTTAGAATTTTCTAGAAAAATATAGTGTTATTTCTCACTATAAACAGAAATGAAACCCATCGTGCTTGGTTCTTCTTTGATTGAGACCTATCAAAATTCATGATTTTTCTAGTCCACCAATGCATTTTTTGGTTCAAACACGTTTTTGTTCTTATCTTAAATCATGAAACAATTTATGCCTAAAACTTAATAAATCTAGCCTAAAGTACCCTTAACTTATACACCCAAGTGAACTCTTCCTAAAAAGTTTTCATTTAAGATCCTTCTCTTTCTCTTTCAATTTTTTTCTTCTTATTTTCAAACAAAACATGTGCTCTTGTATCCATAACGAAGAGTTTTCTATTACCATGGCTGAAAGAAGTTGACACGAAATAGAGATTTAGAATGTTTTAAGGTACGAAAGTACAGAGATACCTAGATAACATTAGGTATTTATTTAGATAGTTGGGTATAGAATAAGTTATAGTATAGTACGGTGCTAAGTAACTAAGTAACATTATGTACTATTTAGTTGGATATATGATAGTTTGGTAAGATTAATTAGTACTTGCTAGGTAATCTTACTAGCTAGATAACATTATCTACCACTTAAAAAGGTTTTCAATAACCAAATAACATTATGTGAAATATTACTTAGTATAATACAAAATAAACTGCAAGTAAGGTGCTCAGTAGTTAGGTAGCATTAAGTGGCACCAGGTAGAGTTTTCGTGTAGCTCAATATTAATATATACTATTTGGTAGGGTTATTGTTAATCAAGTAGTATTATTAAGCATTATCTCATTGGTTTCATAATATTTAAATAATATTAATTATCATTTCATAGATTACTCAGTAACCAAATCGTTTTACATACTACTTAATATTGTTCGTTAGTCAAATAATCTTACGTATTGCATATGAAGTATCATTTATAATTAGTTAACATTAGCTACTATTTAGTTGGATTTTTCAATAATAAAATAACATTAAGTAAGTTTTATAGCAATCTAATTAGATAAATAGTAACTCATTTGAATAATTAATCGTCATTTTTTTTTTTTTAATTTTATGAAAGTTTGGATTATAAAAATGTTGGAAAATTATCATATTCTTGTAAAGGTAATTATACAAATTCAAACCTCGTTAAATTAATACTTTGAAAAAAAACATTATGTGAATTGCTTTGGCATATCCACACAGCACAGACAATAAAGCACCTCTAATTATTACCCCAATAATAATAATAAAAAGACAAGAAAGAGTACGAAGATATTGTATTGGGTGGGCGTAAAGTTGAACGTGATGTAATTAACCAGACTTGGGTGCCGAAGCTTGCATCTAGCCATTATGGTACGCCACAACTAGGACTATCACATCCAAAATGCCAGATACACTTAGCAGAATATGGAGCCACCAAAAATACTCTTTTTAAAATATTATTAAATACTATAAATATAAAATTATCATTTTTCACGTCAACCAAAATAATGGCTGGAGAAATGGGTCTCCCAGTTCCTTGCATGTCGAAAAAAGGCTTCTTTCACAACTTGTCAACCAGCAAAACAAATGAAAATCCTCTTGAACATTTTGGGCTCTTCCATGCAAGTGGCAGAATAGTTCACCCTAAGGTCCCCCCTTTCTCCAGCCTCACTCTTAAATGAGACCTGGATGGATAAGATCATTACCTGCAAATTTCAGATTAGTCCCACATACCCATTTCTTTATAAGCCTCCCTCAACATTTTCTCACACACACACACAACCAAATTCAATTCATACCCACCTCCTCTTTTCTCCTTATTTTTCTCTCATATATTTCTCTCTCATTTAGTATGGCAACGCTCGAGGAATCCTCGACCTTGGAGCTCATTCGTCAGCACTTGCTAGAAGACTTCTCTACAGACCTTGACTTTGACTCTTCCTTTCTCTCAGCTCTACAATTCAATTTCAACCCACAATACAAACAAGAAGAACCCGATTCCCCAATTTCGGATACGCACAACCAATTTCTACCCGAAATTTTCCTTCACGTGACTTCCCCAGAGCCGGGCGTTTCGGCCTCCTGTACGGAAATTATGGAGCCTGATGGGGAAGAGAGGAAGCATTACAGAGGGGTAAGAAGAAGGCCGTGGGGAAAATTCGCAGCGGAAATCCGGGATCCGAACCGAAAAGGGAGTAGGATTTGGCTGGGAACGTTTGATAGTGATGTGGACGCTGCAAAAGCCTATGACTGTGCTGCGTTCAAATTCAGGGGTCGGAAAGCGATCCTTAATTTCCCATTGGAGGCCGGAAAATGCGGGCCGCCGGCGACGACCGGGAGGAAGAGGAGAAGAGAAAAGAAGGGGGTTGAATCGCCGGAGAGAAGGTGGGTGGAAGAGGAGGAGGATGGTGATCAGTCGTCGCCGGTATCTGGAAAAAGAGTTACGGCAAGTGAAGATGAATAAGAAATGGATAGATAAGAGTGGCTTAACTGTAAATATAAATATTGGTAGTTTTCTTTTTTTTTTAAAAAAAAAATTTTCTGTGAGACGAAGAAAAATGTAAATTAATGGCTAAAACTATATTAATGATGTAATGTCACAGCTGAATTCAACCAGCAATTTAAGTGACGATTTTCCACACATACTCATTTATCACAGAAATATTTTGTTACTATATATCATATATATATATATATAGCAACAGTAATATAATGAAAATAATTTTGAAACGAATATATATACAAGATTACAAATTAAATAAAAATCATTCATTTAAATTATAATAATTATTAAAGAAAATTTAAGATGCCAATTGATAAACAGTAATATATATTCAAATATTGGATTACACACTTAAGGAAATTAAATTTTTTAAACTTTTTAGTCTTTTAGTAGAAAAAAGGGGGTGTAATTTTGAATTGTGTATGTATACATACTTTTGCTGTAAATTCAGGGCTGTGTAAATACATAGCTTTAATTAGAGTTTATGTTAATGTATTATACTTTGGTGAATCTTATTGTTTGTAACGAGAGTCTTTTTTATAGAAAATAATAATAATAATAAAATTGTCATTTACACCATAAAATTTTAACTTTGATATAACGTAAGATATAAAAGAATATTATATAAATATAAAAATAGTATAAATTTTTGGCATTTGACGTTTAATTACATGAGTAAATTAAAAGCTTATTTATTATGTTTTTTCTTAAACATTAAATTCGTTTGGTTATGTTTGAACCGATTTAATAAATTTTATTGTTTTAGTACAAATATGTTCTGATTTTTTTCTTAAAAAAAAAATAAATAAATCACTTACATGCAATTCTCTAATTTAACTTCCTTCCTTCTACCGTCGGTTCTCTTGTAGAATTTAGAGTTCTTCAAGGACAAGAGATTATCAAAGTTCTTTTAACTTTTTTTCTAGTGAGTATAAATTTTTCTAGAGTTAACTTTTGTATATTGAGATTAAATTTTTTTAGTATGATTAAATATAAGTCATGTGTATTGAAGTTAAAAGTTACATAGAAGAAATTCTTATTATTTTATTGTAAGGAATTGAATTTTAAACATAATATATAAATTTACGTTATTTATTAACAAACTTGACTCATCAAGATTTAAATTCTATCAATTTATTTCGTGTAATATGAGTTAGAAGATTATATATATAAATTAAAGTGATCTGTTTTAAATATTTGAAAAACAAAATTAAGATAAAAGCTTGAAATAAACAAATTGTATTTGTAGAATGTACCAGTTCCCTTGTATTCATTACTCATATATACTATTTTATTATATATCAACTAAAATTTTATTACATTTTTTTTTAGATATTATGTCTCAACAGTGATCTTTTAAGATTTTATAATAATTTAGTAATTAATTAATATTATATAATATTTTATTATTGAAAAATATTATTATAATTTCTCTGACACCACTAGAATTAATATATTCAGAGTGATTGACCTTACTTTTTCATTAATTTTATTATTTAAATAAACAAATAGTGCACATTTCAAAATCACATCCTCTTTTTTTTTCAAATAACTAACTTCATTACTTCTTATGAAACCATTACAGCAATGTCCAATGGAAAACTTTCCCATACATGGAAACCAAAAAATGATCGTGCAGCTCTCGCTATTCTGTGAGCCACCTTATTACATTGTCTTCTGACCCAGTTAAGGATTATATCAAGTCTGAGGTCTAGTAAAGCTATACAATTTGCTATGATGAAGCCAAACTCAAAAACATATTTTTATTTGGATATTAATGCATTTGTCACTCGTTGGACGTCCATTTCTAAAATGTTTGGCCCTCAAACGTTAGCAATGATATATTGAAAGGCACTTCGGCAACCAAACAATTTAGCTAAGGCGTCCAACACCCTTGAATCTGCCTCAAGAAGGAAGCCATCACCGTCCTTGAGGTGTCCTGGACAATTGCACCGTACCCAGCTTCAGGTCTAGTTTCAAAAAATTGTGTCGTCGACATTACATTTTCAGAGTCCAGAATCTGGAGCTTGCCACACATGTCAGTCGGGTGGAGTTTGGCCCAGAGACGTACATTGCCTCTACTTTTGATCTCCTTCACTTGCCTCCATTCACATAAGAATTTTCGTAATAGATAGATAGTGGTTTGATAAGCAAACATTCACTAGTCCATACAAAGTCATTCATTTCTATCCATAACCACCACATACAATAAAAACCTCGACCACCTCTTGTTTTGTCATTGATTTAACTCTCTCTTCCAACCATTTAAATATTTCTGGAGTTTCTGACTCCTGATTTGGAATGCTTAGCATCTCCCAACACCTTCTGGCTTTGTCACAATCAAAGAAGACATGCGTAATGGTTTGCACCTCTTCACATTTTGAGCAGGCTGTAACTATTCTAATCCCCTTCTCTCCTTGTTAAACTCTTACAAGGAGTGAATTATTCAGCAGCCTCTAAATGAAACTCTTGATTTTCGCTGGAACTTCGACATACCAAATATGCTTCTACAGATTACTTGATCGCTCAGTATAGGTTGTGTGAAAACTGTAAAGAAGCCCAACCGGGTAAACAGGGAGCATTTAATGCTCTTTAATTTTCTGTTGCAACTTTTTATTGAGTGGGACGTTGGGAATATATACACATATAGGGGAATAAATGAAAAGAGGATGCGGGTGGTCTCTAGAATCAACTGAGACCACCAGCTGTCCCCAACTTTTAAACATAAAAGAAAAATCTAGACCCTTAATTTTAGTGTTTTGATATGGGCGGTCCACCTGTCAATTTTCTTTCAGCCTTTTTCCGTTTTTACACTTAATTCTTTTCACCCGCTCCTCAAAATGAAGTCAGTTCTCTCTCGACTCTTCGAATTTCTCACCATCACTTCTTTAACCCTTTGAACTTTCTTGTTGCAGATGCTTCATTTTGAACAGAACTCAGTGATGTGCGGAGGTTCCTAAAGGTTTTATGAGCATATCAGTGAACTGTTCCCTCGAGGGGACTTGTTTCTTTTCCACGAAGCCCTTTTGAACCTGGTTGCGAACTATGTGACAGTCGATGTCAAGGTGCTTCGTTCGTTCGTGAAAAATTAGATTTGTTGCGATATGCTTAGCAGCTTTGTTGTCGCAATTCAGTATTACAGGTAAGTGGGGTATTATTTGAAAATCTCAAAGCAGATAAGTTATCCACTGAACTTCACATACTATGGATGACATATTTTTGTACTCAGCCTCTGCGGGAGACTTGCTCACCGTAGTTTATTTCTTTATTTTCTAGGAGATTAATGCAGGCTCGAGGAAGATACAGAAGCCCGTGAGGGATTTGCGGGTCATCAAACAAGATGCCCAGTTCGAGTCACAAAAGGCTTGAACTTTAAGGTCACTCTTTCTCGGGAAGAAAATGCCTTGCTCCGAATATTGATTTAGATACCTGACAACATGTAGTGCAGCGTCAAGGTGCGGCCATCTGGGCTGTTGCGTGAACTGACTGAGATGTTGGGTGGAGTATGTTATGTTGGGTCTAGTGAAGTTGAGGTAAAGCAAGTGGCCGATTAGGCGTCTATACCTCTCCGGATCTGGTAAGATTTCTCCTTCTTCTGCATTTAATTTTAATATGAAAGGCAGGGAAAAGTGGCTTCCTTTTGTATCTTTCATCTTTGTATCTTGTAAAATATCTTTGGTGTATTTTTTTTTGCTGATGTAGATCCTTTTTTTTGACCTAGCTATCTCAACTCCAAGGAAATATCTCGCTTAGTCGATGTCATTGACTGTGAAGGCTTCATCTATGGCACTTTTGACTTCGCAAATCTCTTCATCATTAGGACCCGCGACATAAGTAAGTCATCCACATATACCACAACTGCAACGTAGTTTTTTTTGTTCCTTTTGTGAATAGACAGTGGTCTGCTTCTGACTCAGTAAAGCTGATGGATTGGAGCTTTGAAGTAAGCTCCTTGTTCCACTGGCGACTCGCTTGTTTTAAGCCGTACAGGCTCTTGGTTAAACAGTAGACTTGCCCTTCACTGGCCTTGAAGTAGCTCTCTGGAGGTTTTAAGTATAGCTCCTCTTCCACAAACCTATGTAGGTACGCGTTATTGATGTCTAACTGATATACTAGCCAATCACTTGTGGCTGTCACGACTAAAAGTAGCCGAACCGTGACTATTTTGGCCACTGGTGAGAAGCTATCATGATAGTCTATGCCAAACTCTTAGTTGTAACCTTTAGCTACGAATCTTGCTTTGTATTTATCAACTGATCCATCAACATTGTATTTTATTTTATACACCTATTTTGAGTCGATTGCCTTCTTCCCTTTCAGTAGTGCAATTAGTTCCCATGTATTATTTTCTTCTAGTGCGGACAGCTCGACTTCCATGGCCTCAACCCACTTGTTGTCCCTTTTAGCATCCCTGTATGACATTGGTTCTTTCGTAATAGACACTTGTGCAATGAAATTAACATAGCCATGATTGTATGTAGGTGAGGTGGACATGAGGAAGAGGAATTCAGACATAGGTTGTTCGGTGGTATGGGCGACAAAGTCTTCCATCCAGGTGGGCCTATTTCTTATCCTAATGCTCCTCCTTACGTCAGACTTTTGGGGAATGATGTTTGGTAGGGGAATTTCCTCTTTTCTTTGTGACTGGTTTTTAGGTGTGGTTACTATGTCGTTGCTTGGTATTGGCTGTGGTGTATCATGGTAATCTGGTTTAGGGTGTTTAGTTTGGTATGGAAAAATATGTTCATGAAATATGACATCCCTTAACAAAACCGTTTTTCTTTTTGTTATATCATATAATTTGTAGGCCTTTGCATCGGGTCCATACCCTAAGAAAATACATTTCAAAGCCCTGGGTTCAAACTTGTCTTTTTGAGGGTTAATATTTATAGCAAAACATAAACAACCGAAGACTTTTAGATTTGAGTAATTCGGCTGCTTTTTGTACAAAATTTCATAAGGAGTTTTCCATTTTAAAATAGAGCTTGGCAAAACGTCTATTATGTGTGTGGCTATGAGCATGGCTTTGTCCCAAAACCTTTTTGGTAATTTTGATTCAAACATCAATGCCCTAGCAATTTGTAATAGGTGTTTATGTTTCCTCTCCACCACACCATTTTGCTATAGTGTGTATGTATAG